GGATTGACATGCAGGGCTTTTGCTAACCGATTTTAAACACATATTGCATTCCTGGTTATCAACATCGAAAAAAGATGATCTATCGCCAGATGCAGCGAACGGCAAATCATGAAAAACAACCGATAAATCCGAGACAAAGAATCAACAAATAGGATGTGTACGTCGTCGCGGGCGACACTCAGCAGGTGCAGCAGCGAAGCGAGCGCCGCGCTTCGATTCCCTCCGCGGGCCAGCAGCCGGCAACTGTCGCGCAGCATGCACGACTCATTCGTCGCGTCGCCGCCGTAGTGGCAGCGTTGCCCATCGGGCCAGACGGCGCGTTGCATGGCGCCCGGTCCGGCAGCAAGCCGCTGCAGCGACTCTCGCGCTCTTCACGCCGTGCGGGGCAAGCTTCTTTGCGCCGCGTCGGCGTCTCCAGCAAGGGCGGCGACGCGACGCAGAGCGCGCAGCTCGGGCGTCTCCGACTTTGCGTGGCCCCTGCAGACGACTTTTGTTCACTTGTGCGAGCGGGCGTGCGCGCGCATTCGTGAAGAATGCCTTCCAGCCAGAGGGAGGCGCGTTCGCCTTCTTGCCCGTTCTTGGGCGCGCTGCGGAGTGGGACAACATCGGGGGAGCGGGCGGGGGCGGGGGGATTAGCGGTCGCGCTTTGCCCACACTCACGCGGTTATTCGTAATCAGTGCAGTTTGGTACACGTAGTAGTAGATAATGTTAGTAGTGAGCTGATGTGCAGTTTAGTGGCATGGGTATGCACCATCAGTGCCAGTTTTGTAGCATAAGGGAGTAGTAGCATGATGCACAGTTTTAGTGCATGTCGAAAGCACTATTCAGGGGCAGTTTTTGTACAGGGAGTAGTGAAAATGATGCACAGTTTAGGTGCATGTAGTCGACATCAGTGGCAGTTTTTGTAGGCAGGGAGTCCCGTACATGATGCCCCAAGTGTTAGTGCATGTTAGCCACATCAGGCCTGGCAGTTTTTGTAGCAGGGCGTCGTACATGATGCAACAGTTTTAGTGCATGTTAGCACATGCAAGGCAGTTTTTGTACGAGATCGTGAACATGGATGCACAGTTTAGTGGGCATGTACGCACGATCATGACGCAGTTTTGTACGAGAGAGTAGTACATGATTGCACAGTTCTAGTGGGGCCATGTAGGCAGGCATCAGGGGCAGTTTGTACAGGGAGTAGTAAATGATGCACAGTTTAGTGCTATGTAGGCACATCAGGGCAAGTTTTGTACACGGGAGTCGTACATTGATGGCACAGTTTATGTGGGTGGCATGGTAGCACATAGGGCAGTTGTTTGGTAGCAGGGCGAGTCGTACCATGATGCAGCATTTAAGTGCATGTAGCACATCAGGTGCAGTTTTTGTAGCAGAGAGTGCCGTACATGATGCACAGTTTAGTGCATGTAGGCAGCATGCAAGTGCAGTTTTGTAAGGCAGGGAGTAGTAAATGATGGCAGCAGTTTAGTGCAAGGCTTAGCACATAGGGCAGTTTTGTAGCAGGGAGTCAGTAAATGATGCAACAGTTTATGGCATGTAGGGCACATCAGGGCAGTTTTGTTAGAGGGAGTAGGTAAATGATGGCACAGTTTAGTGCATGTAGCAACATCAGGGCAGTTTTTGTAAGGGCAGGGAGTAGTAACATGATGCAGCAGTTTAGTGCATGTAAGCGCATCACCATCAGGGGCAGTTTTGTAACAGGGAGTCTGTACATGATGCACGCAGTTTAGTGCACTGTAGCACATCAGGCGCAGTTCTTTTGTACCAGGGAGTCGTAACATTGGATCACGTTTAGTGCATGTAGCACATCAGGGCAGTTTTGTACTCGAGTGCAGTGTTATCAGTTACTGTCTCGTATCTGGTTTTGTATCGTATTTGGCAGGGGTGGGCAAATTAGTGCGGCTTCCTGAATTAGTACATAAAAACAAAGCTGCAGATGGCTCTACAGTACTAAAAGCCCCCAAAAACAGAGAGCATTTTCATCAAATTACTCATTTACTCGTTTTTTTCATCATAATCTTTTTTCATCGGTCACCAGAGCTTTAGCTCGATTATTTTCGCTTCTGTTATCGATCTAGTGCATTCACCATGCATTAACAAAACCTAGGCATGTACCAGAACTTGACTCTGTTGTCTGCCTTGTGCCCATACTAGTTCGCGTGCTTGTTGAACGAAACACAGCACCCAGCAAAACCTACCCTGGGAATTCGATGACTGTGTGAAACTGGTCGGGCAGGGCCGTAGGACCTCCACCGACCTCGATGTAGCTCTGGTGTGCAGGAAGCAAAGCGAAGTTGACAGGCAGCCCAAGGGCCCTGGAGCGAGCTTCCTCTAGTGACAGCAGCTTCGCTGGCGTGGAGATGGCCAGTGACTTCGGTCGAGCGCGTTTGGGAGGACCTGTCATTCACCATACTTAAGTCAGAATAATACTTCATTCCTATACTGATAGCGAAGGTAGAGCAAGTGTTACAAACAGCCTGTCATCATCATTAGATGTGGAACAACAGCAGCTCTAAAGCACAATTTAAGAGTCTGAAGTCAATTTGAAATATCACCAACGAAAAGTTGTCCAGCCACACCAGAGGTGGCAGTGACAACTATTACGACATGCGACTAATGACAAACAGTCCTCACCCGGTGTGCCGTTGCTGTGGAATGACGGCATCTTGTCATTAAAGATCACATCACAGTATTGGATGAGAAACTCAGTGACGACTGCTTGTATGCCAACACTGTGTAGCCTCGCTGCTGCCGCCCCACTCTCCAGCTCTTTTGACCTGTAATATACATCTAGTTCTTTAGACTTTACTTATGTATTATTTACATAAGTCATTAAACTCGATGTAGGAGCAGCTGGCCATTGCTGCGACGGGGATGAACGCGAGGTACATGTCTAATGATATAAGTAGACGTATAATCAATGTTGCATGACTAACTAGATAGTAATCATCGGGGACATTATGGAAACGGTAGTCACACACGCAAAACCAGGGAATGATTAATGACCACAGAGAGGTACAGAGGGCTGACATCGGGATAGTACCGAGCCTGTGATTGGTTGAGAAGTAGAGACCACTATGTAGGGTCAAGGAGTTAGAACGACACCCTATATAAGGGAGGACAGCGAACTGGGTTCTCACTGCTCCTTTGACATTAAAGGTTGTATTCATTGTTTAGACTGAGTTAAGTGATTCCCTACAAACTGCACTCTTGTCCTTTTCTCCAAATACACTACCACGAGACACAACACCTTAGTTCTGCCATCGCACTGAAATACAGATCTTTTGTGTGTAAATATCACGTAAAAATCTCTACAGTTTTACATCAAAGTTATACAGCTCTCAGGCATTAGACAAGAAAAATTTTTTTTCTTTCTGTGTGATCTGGCTTCATATCTTTAGACCTGCAACACATGCAATTCAAAGCTCCGATTTTCATCTGGACGTCTTTAGATCCTCGTTGTTGAAGGTCGCTTACTAATCATCATACAAAAAGGAGAGTTAGAGTGAAGCAAGCCACTCCACCCGCAAAACCCGTAAGCTACCTAACGGCAGAGCGGCGTGCCACCGAGGCGTAAAAGCAAGATGGGTGAGCCAGGTGCACACCTGAGCAGGTTGGGAGCCCAGACGATCGCGATGTTCTTGCAGTGCATGCCCGTCTCGGATCCGTGCGACGCGACCTTGGCCAGGTGTCGGATGAGGTACTTCAGCGTCCTGTAGTGCGGTGGCGGCAGCTTCTGCACCACGTCGAAGATGCGCATCAGCCTGTTGTCCTCGTCCTGCACCGCTCGCTGCGAACAGATGGCGCCACGCGGTTACCACGCTTGTATACGACATGAGCAGTGAACGATACGATGGTAGCGTGCGGACTGTAAACACTGCTTATGGGTAAGGACAGTGATGGCACGGTTAATGATTGTTATTGAATTAGCATTTTCATTTCTGGTTTAAGTCACTGCTTTACGTGCACCGTGGCAAAAGATTAAAGCATTTTTTACTTTGTGTTCACACACAACCACTGCATATTGCTGCTAGTGCTGCTGTTGCTGCTACTGCTGCTGTTGCTGCTGCTGCTGCTGCTGATACTACTACTACTCTCATTTCCTACCATTCTTTTACCCTATAAGAGCATGTATATGAACGCTAGAACAATGCTGATAAATGTTCACTACAATACCATCACAGAATGGCCTGCCCACTCCACTCCACAATTCAAACTGCCCACCAACAAACTATGCTCGCTACAGCACCCGCGGACGGCGCCACCGCCACGCACTCACCACGAAGCTGTCATAGAGCTGGTAGGTGAGCAGTGGGTTCGGCAGCTCTCGGAAGTACATCTTCAGCAGCGACGCGACGCAGTGGATGTCCTGCAGAATCAAGTCGTCCTCCATGTCCGGGATGCGGTCCTCGTCGAACGTGTGCCTACAAACGAACGAGCACGCGCCATCGCAGAATGAGCCAGCACTCCTCTACCAGCTCACACGTCAACGACCGACTGATACCGCGTGTGCATGCCGTCGCAGAATGAGCCTGCACTCCTCTACCAGCTCACACGTCAACGACCGACTGATACCGCACATGCATGCCATCGCAAAGTGAGCCTGCACTCCTCTACCAGCTCACACGTCAACGACCGACTGATACTGCACGCGCCCCGTCAGTGTCGTGTCGTCGTCGCGGCAAATGAGAAGCTTAGGGACCGTGTTCTAGCATGCTGGGTGAAACATTCTGAGTGTGGAGAGAATCGGAACACGCTCGGTTAGTCCGATCATCGGCGTTACAATCACCAGGTGATAACACCAATTTACCAATTATTAATCACCAAATGATTTTACCATGTACGAATGATTTCGTGTTTGATGCTGGCCTACCCATTCATTAAGATCTCATTCTATTTTTTTACCAGTCGTAAGTTACACATGTATACATGGTTGCCAACTGGAGTTAACTAAGAGGCTTCAACGGAGATTAAAACAAGGATTAAATACATAGCAACCTCTTACCTTAATTTCTGTATGTTTGAGGACACACCAGAGAGTCTATAGATACCATCGACGATACCATGTTTTTCAATCGTCGATCCACAGCATTTTAGTACCATTGGAACTAAAATAAAAATATATAAATGGAATAAATAAGCTATGATTCCGTAAATTAGTGTCAACTTAACCTATGAATCTAATAAAAACAGAGTATGAAATATGAAACCATGTCAAATTCATCGCAAATTTAGGTTCACGGTAAAACTCATGCGTGACGATTTCCCGGGAACATTATCTGCGAGTGTCACTATTGTTACGCTCACCATTATATCACAACATTATTTAATTTTACATTTTTTATTATAATAATATTTTATTATTATATTTGATAACGTTATGATTTACGTTATCAACATAATCCGTTCTCGTTGACAACAAATCAATCATTATCCATACGTTGCGAGCGCACGGGTAAGCGAGGTAAATCAAGGAGCTACCCCCACAGAAAAATCATCGCACGCGCGCACGGATTTTCGCCCAGCGACGACGCTCTGCGACGGACAGACAGACAAACTCACGCTCGAGGCCATTGTTGAGCAGGTGCTCGCCGAGGTCACAGCCGAACACGCGCTCCTTGAGGATGCCGCTCTGCTTGAGCTTGCGCCGCGAAGGCCGAGACGTCAGGAACGAGCGCAGGAACGACATCAGCTTGCCGTTGCGGTTCACCGGCCGCTCGGCGGCGCCGGCGTCGGCTCCGTCGGGCGACGGCGTCGCGCCGACGCGCATCAGGTGCGGCACCTGCGCCTTGTCGCCGATCAGCTCGACGCACTCACGAGGGAAGAAGCCCACCTGCAGCAGCAAAGGGAGGGGAGGCATGAGAAGCCAGGAGATAACCACACAACGATGGGGGAGGTTCCGCAACGCGGTGCATCAAGACCGGGACCTGTGTAGTGCGAGATTTATTGCAGTGTAGTGCGGGGTTTAGTGTGTTGTAGTGCAGTATAGTGCAGTGTTTAGTGTGATGTAGTGCAGGGGTTAGTGTGGTATAGTGCAGGGTTTAGTGCAGTGTAGTGCACGGTTTTGTGTGGTTTAGTGCTGTCTAGTGCAGGGCTTAGTGTGGTGCAATGTGTGGTTTAGTGCGGGGTAGTGCAGAGTCTAGACTAGTAGAGCAGTGTAGTGCATGGTTTAGTGAGGTGTAGTGCATGGTTTAGTGAGGTGTAGTGCAGGGTTTAGTGAGGTGTAGTGCAGAGTTTAGTGTGGAGCAGTGCGGGTTTAGTGAGGTGTGATGCAGTTACTGTTACGGTGTGATGCAGTTACAGTCACGGTGGGATGCAGTTACAGTCACAGTGGGATGCAGTTACATTCACAGTGGGATGCAGTTACAGTCACGGTGAGATGCAGTTACAGTCACAGTGGGATGCACTTAGACACAGTGTGATGTAGTTACAATTACGATGTGATGCAGTTACAGTCACGGTGGGATGCAGTTACAGTCACGGTGGGATGCAGTTACAGTCACGGTGGGATGCAGTTACAGTCACGGTGGGATGCAGTTACAGTCACGGTGGGATGCAGTTACAGTCACGGTGGGATGCACTTAGACACGGTGTGATGTAGTTACAATTACAGTGTGGCTCAGTTACATACTACAGGGGTAGACTTTTGATTGAGGAAGAAAGGCAGGCTACATGCTCTCATAAAGAGTCCTCAGTAAAAGGAGGAAGTCCATAGCATAAAACAAGTAATACCCTGAAGGGCTTAAACGATTGTGTGATTTTTTATATATTACCATTAGTGTCGGGTGATTCTGCCTCAAAATCGGCTCGTTTTAGATTTAAGATTTAAGCTTGGTTTCAGGCAACTGTATGAGCTTGTGAAGTGAGAAAATCAATACTGTCTTTCAACTAAATAATGGTAATGTTATATGAAACCAAGTAGCAGCACTACACAATTACTGAGTATCACATGACATGCTCTCCATCAATCAGAAGGTATAATGTCAAACTGGGATACACACCAGTGCACATACTGTGTTGGAACGTCTTTGCGACAGTCAATTAACAGTACCTATTTGTTCACTAAAAGTAAAAGTGATTAATTTAATAAGATATTCTATCAGAATTTACCATTATTAATAGGTTTATAGCCACTTTCTTGCTAGGTTCTACAAATAGCTGCAGAATCTTTTGTAAAAAAATTAAAATTAAATTTCAACCTACCTCAAAGCCCCGCTTTCCTCGCCACCAGCCAGATTCCTCTGTGGAAGGCATGTCAATCACAGAGATTATGTCTCCAACCTGCCAATACAATGTTATGATTACTGTGAGACTACATTCAAATAAAAAATACGATCATGCTAGGAAACAACACAGTAATGCAAAATGCTTCCGCTTACAAGTTCTTCCTTTATTTTGAATTCACTATTGTTCACTGAGTGTTTGATGTGAATTTGATTTTCTTAATATTAAATTTGTTTACCAATATAATAATTCTAAAAAAAAAAACAGGAAATGCATGCGACTAGTGTCATCAAGCTCAAACAGACAGTACAGTTTGTTAAGTTAAATGCACACTGTTGCCAAGTTTTAGCCCATGTTATAAGTGAACCCGTGCTATATGGAGTTTATATTTTTTTATCTGACAGACAGGGTTCACATGGGCATAGAAATGTCCTGGAATGTGACTCCTTGAATTTGAAACTATTGTGTTTTATACTGGAATAAAACTAGTTCCTAGTTAATTGGGATAAAACCTGTGGCCACGTTGCATGGTCTACCAGTGTATCATCATAAAATACTGCCTACAAGGATTTAAACAAATCTGAGTGGCAAGCTTAAACATGCTGTATTTTGTTTTAAATACTGCACATAAGTGCCAAATGGACTGAACATATTTCACAAATACGATTCATGCACACTTGCACGTTTGTTAAAATTTACCTCAAAAGAGATTTCATCGGCAGCCTGGGCAGTGTACCTCTTCACAACGTGTGCTGCAGCTATCGCCGGTGTGTTGATGGCAGAAGATTCATCTGTCACTAGCAGCCGATTTCCACGGTTGTCGAGCTGTCGGAAAAGTTTTATTATCCGTTTATCATTAGATGCCATATTAAGACCAAGAAAAATATGGTACTATGCTAAATAGCACGTTTGGACAACTAAATGGTTTTTGATTGATCAAAGGTGATCATCATGATGATTAGTATTATAATATACGCAAGAAATGTAGAAATGTCATAATTTTATTAACAAAAGAATGCCAACTATGGGAAAGTTATGACTCTGCAGAACTGCTATATTGTCTTCACCCTTTGGTTCACCATGATGTTGTCATAGGTAACTAATAAATGAAGTTTTAGGCACTATATAGCTAGAATAGGATAATGAATCCACAGTGGATAATCAAACTACGTGTTGATGTCATGTGTACCTCTAGCCAGTTTAGAATGGGTCCACAGCTGATGAGGCTGCCCGCAATACTGGTGAATCGAGCCAAGTAATTGGACAACATGTGCTTCATACTCTGAGGAGAAAATGTGATGATGCAACTGATGAGAGACTTGTCAACAACAGTTATCTCACAAGCTGGCGTTCACGTCTACTTTGATCAATACCACACTTCATTACACAAGCAAATGTCAACAATATTACCAGAAATCCCTAATTCATGATATATTGAAATAGAACAATAAGAGTTTTAGGTAGAACAAACATATAATATAACTGAGTATATGAGCAGCATAACTAATATATTACTAAATGGTAAATTGTATTCCAATTCCTAACTTTTAACGTTTGCACCCAAGCACGCATGTACGCACACATAAATACATACAAGCACTTGAGCATATAGTAAGGAGTATATACACGCACAGTACGTACGCAAGCACGCACTCATGCATGCACACACATACCTCTCTTGGTTCCTCTGACAAAACCTCTCCCTTTGGAAGTTCTGTGAGTTGGCTATACTTTCTATCATAAACACACCTATATTTAAGAAACAAAGAGAACCCCACAAAAATGTATATAAATAAAATCAACATTGGATGTTAGGGAAAATTCTTTTGCAATGTTATTAATAGTAATGTTAAAAGCCCTATCACCAAACATACCATTCAGAATTTCTGATATTCAATAAGTTATCAGAGGAATACATTATCACTTTTTTTAAATGTTATTTAAGATAATCTCCTGGTTAGTACAGGGCTACAATGATCACCGCTAATGACACATTGCTGGATAAAAAATATTTCCTTGCCCTGCTTACATTTTTCCTCAATCATAACAAGAAAGATGTTATCCAATGTTATTAGCACTTTACCCACACAACCAGTGTGGAGCTAACTATTTATGTGCCCTCTGAACATTAGACTATGGGTATTAAACACGAGGTATGGATACGTGTCATACACAAAAGAATTGTTCAGCAATACAAATACTCCGTAGTGAAGCACACTGATGTAATTTGAAAAATACACACACATGTGCATGTCTCTTCTCTTACCTACCCCAATTCTTCAGGGTATGGTGGTGACAAAAAGCAATAAAATCCCCACCCGTCTATAGGCCATTTCACCTAAACACAATATCGGAAAATTTCAGCCAAACAAATGTTGGTAGGCAGTTTTGGACGGTTGCGAATAATCACAACGGTAACATTCCACAAAGCTCCGAGTGAAAAGGCCTATATGCTGTGATGCGTGTGCGCAGTTGGCTATCAAAATTTAAAAAAAAACAATGCTCATCAGTCACCAATGAAGCTACAATGTACCTATGAAGCTGCTTGTCAAGCATGCGGAAGTTTTCGTAGGTTCTGCGCACTATCCAGGACTTGTTGTTGCAAGTGATTTGCACATAGAACACTCTATCCTCTTCCCCAGCACCCGATATTGCCGTGTGACTGTGCGGGGTGTCGAACATGCATGCCTGTGAAATTAGACAGCAAAGCTGCAGCATAAGTGGGCACGCGCAAAAATCACTCGGTGAACTCTGAAACGGCTTAGGCGTGCTGACATCAGAAACTCACCTTGCGGGAGGTACACTGGTGCATAAACTGATCTGAATACTATAAAAGTGTGTGGCTGCACATGTGTATGTGAGCATGTGCGTTCGTGAGTGCACGCGGGCGTGCGTGAGCGCGCGTGCATGAGCATGCAGACATGTTTGGGAGTGTGTATATGCATGTGCGTGCATCCGTGCATGTGTTTTGGGTGCGTGCGTGCATGTATGTGCGTGTATATATATACTGGATGCGTGTCTGTCTGCATGCACAGCTGGTTACATGTTAACGCAAATCTTTATGATACATGTATGTACAGGTTTTATCTACAGTTGGGAATTTTACAGCGAAAATTGGACATCATTGAACGTCCCTTCAGAATACTTTCATGACAATGTTAGTAGAAAGTAACTAGACTATTTGTGACAGAGATCATTTGGGAATGCAAATAATGGGTATATGGATCTATGGACGAAACTGTTGAGAATACAAGCTGCTCATCAGAATTTTATATATACATTCATTTTACATGCTTTCATTTCTCAACAATCGTACTAATGTAGTTTGTTTAAATTGCAGCCACGGTGGATTACGAATAGCATTAAATTATTATAATGCTAAAAATGAATTATGCATTTAGAACAGAAACCAACTCTACTTAAAACAGTGTAAAATTGGCCAACTACTTGACCACACCACAATTGTGAAGTTGTTTACATGTACCTGGAGAATTTAACTGGTACCATCTATATGAATGAGCATATATGTATATATATATATATAACTTATAAGTTACTATGAGCATTACACTTACTACACAATTACGCTGTATTCTGTTTTGCTCTCACACCTTTTATCAAGTTGTTGGATGCTACATTTTTAACTTGATGGCTAGTGGATTTTCCTAACATATCACTAAAAAAAGTAGTGGCAAATTTGGGCTTCTCCTGCCTTAAACCTTAGGTACAAACTCAGTGAGCATTAAGTAGTTTATGCTAGCAGAGCAGAATGTCAATTTTGTGATGTACATGAACACACACACACTATATATATATATATATAGTGCAAATTTTTAGTTAAAGAAGTTAATTTTTAGTTATCCAAATTAGCCAACCAATATAACCCCATAATAACACCTAACCACAAGTACATCTTGCATCACAGTTGTAAAAAAAACCATGTAGCAAATTAGTTTCATTAATAAAACAGTAAAAAACTGCAGGAAAGTTGTTTTCGTTAATATGTGTATACATACTTAAAAATATATTGCATCGTCCTGTTAGGAAAATCTCTCACTTACCGAAATTCGGCTGATCTCGATATGATCATAGTGAAAATGTGCACACTCGTCCAGTTTTGGAAAGCGAGAACTTCCATCTAACAACCTGTAGAGAAATAATAAAAAACGGTAAATAACGGTATGCCTAGCATGAAAAAAGTTGCAGTGTTTCATAGCAAAAATAAAGCACAGATTCAGTTTCACAGCCAATTAGCTGGGAACGTAAGTAACCTTCTACGTTTCTGACATTTCATTAGCTGTGGCACACACGCAATGTGCCATACAATTACACGTTTTACGTCAACGATCACTACGCAGTCAAATCAAATGGACAACCAGCATCGCTCCAAAGCAAGGCGTAATGCAGTACAACAACGTAGCATATCCCCCCCCCCAACCACCTATAGCTCGGAAGAGAGTAAGATCATTACCAAAAAAAAAGTTATGAGCAAAAAAAAGTACTGAGACACTAGCCACATTTTGTGCTATGAGTTGAATTGGGAGTATAAGGACAGTCCTATAATAAATCCCTGGAATCTTAGGGTTGGGAACAATAATCGTGTGAACTGCTGGTTGAATAAACCAATTACTGACATTTTCGCTTCGGTCAACCTCGTGTTTCAGCCAATAATTATTACTTTTTCGCGGTCAGTAATATAACACTGTCTGGGGTAGCAGGCAGCAAGCCATATGTTTGTTATTCTATGCAGGTTAAGTCCAGAAGACAGACGCAGACACTATACTCGTATTTTTGAGTATGCATGTTGTATCACTAGCTCCACACCAGATTATCACCGAAAGTATTACACGAATGCAGATAAATGCTGCTGTATGGAATATGCACTAGAACACTCTGTTTTCTAAATAGTATTAAATGTTTGTTCGTGCTCATTCTAAATGACACCAAATTTCAACAAATGTGACTACACTGCTAATGCACAAAACTGTGCAAACTAACTTAATCTCTCTAGCTCAGTAGCTCTAAGAGCAACAGCAACATTAATTTCCAATAACTTCGAAATATGACCAACTATAATTGAATGTGAACTTTTTGCAGAGATCGATTAGAGAATCAAGTCATAAATTACAAATGGTGAAGGGCATAATGAAGCCATTTTGGAAGAAATGATCATAATATCCCTTAGCTGTCAGTGAGGTAAAATTCACTGGTGCATATACCAACTGTATTAATATTACCCAATATCTATCAATCACAATCAGAATGAGTAATCATTAACTTTGATCACTGGTCAGTTGAAGGCAACTGCTGATCGATTATAAGATTTCGATTGAATTCTTATCAGTAGCTACAGTATTTCTTAGTAATTTTAATTAAAATATGACCCGACAGCATAACAAGGCAGTATTAGTAGTATTTTTAAACTACAGAGGAAAAACAAAAAGACTTACGGTACAATGTGCTTGATCTTGAGTGCCGAGCCATCCTTCGAACTCGGCGTAATCTCACCCGACTGCAATACAAAATTTATGCAATAAAATAACACGTTTACCTGCATCGCCACTCCTCATTACGATTCTTACCTAGGAACACTGAGATTCAATCAGCACTACAGACTGTTTCCAAAGGTAGCCTTGGCTGGCAACACATTTTCAATAGGTTTCTTCGTAATGAATCAGGGAGTCTACCACTACCAGTCTACCAGTACTACCAAAATACACTTATTGCCATACATTTTTCAATGAGGTATCTAAACTTGAGCATAAGGGTTGGTAAAATGCGTGAGTTAAATTAGGGGGTTATTACTGCTGAATATACCAATTTTTACAGTTCAAGGTTAATATAAAATAACTACACCAAACTATAATAAAAAATATTAACACAGAAAAATACCACTGTGCAGAATATGCACTAGAACTCTGTTTTATGAAAGTTATCAAATGTTTGTTAGTGCTCAATTTATGGCATGCTAAATTTCGACATTCTTATTTCAACAGTCTTACTTTAAAAACTTACAGTATTTGTTACATACTATGACACTTCATTACCACCCATTGAGATTACGTAAGTTGAGCTTCAAAGGTGCATTTTCACACTCGTTATTTAGGAGGCTTACAATGTAAGTGATATTACAATTGCCACTATAATGAACCTAGTGACGAAAGCTGAAATATTTCAATCTACTATTCGGCTTACTCTAATGACTCGTGTGAAAGGCAAATATAAACAACAACATTAATTTACATAATCTATGAGAGTAACAGATAATGTTTTTGATTAATTTTCATTGCTACTGAAGAGTAAAATTGGTATGAAATAAATATAAAGCCCTACTTAACTGGGAGTTGTGTTAAAAGCTAGAGTCAGTACTCAGTAGGTGACTAATGCTGTACTTGGCTTATTAGCAGCTGTTGGCTTAGCTGGTAAATGAGTTAATGGATGGAAATGTTAGAGAGACAGGCCGAGTAACTGTCAATGTTTAAATTAACCAAATGTCAGTGTTGCCGCGAGGCCCTACAGAACCCGTTAATACACTCGGTCACCCACCCACACAGTTACAAAACACGTATATAGGGTTTCATGTGTTTAAGTTCTGCCAATGGTGAATTTGTGAATATAGCATGCTTGGTCTATATAGTGTTCGGCTGACTGATATTGCTACAGACATGCTACAAAATCAGTTTAGCACATAAAACATTGTGGTAAACTAAAGTGTGTTTTTTAAATGAATCCAAAAGTTTACTGTGATTAAAAATGGTTATATGAAATAGATAAATATTTATTTAAAACAAAGTTTGTTTGTCATAAATATAGTTAGGTAAGCATGCTCTAAAGGGAATGTTCACAAGCGCGACCTTCGGATGATCTTTAAACAAGGGAGCTGCACAGGATTGCAGAACCTGCCCATGAATCAATAATAATCTGCCGTATAACAGACAAGCACATTGATCGTTCACAGCACAGACAAGCACACTAACAACTGACACCACAGACAAACACTAACAACTCACACCACAGCCAAGCACACTAAGTCACTAACAACTCACACCACAGCCAAGCACATTAAGTCACTAACAACTCACACCACAGATAAGCACACTAACAACGCACACCACAGCCCAGCACATTACAAACACACCACAGACAAGCACACTAACAACTCACACCACAGACAAGCACATCACAAACTCACACCATAGACAAGCACACTAACAACGCACACCACAGCCCAGCACATTACAAACACACCACAGACAAGCACACTAACAACTCACACCACAGCCCAGCACATTACAAACACACCACAGACAAGCACACTAATAACTCACACCACAGACAAGCACACTAACAACGCACATGACAGACACACTAACAACTCACACCATAACCAAGTACACTTCCCACTCACTACAGACAAAAAAAATGCTAGAACCTATTGAAAATCAGTGATAGCACCTATATGAATACCAATACGGGAAGAGTTTGCAACATATTACAAACCTGACAGAAAAGGATGCGGCCACTACAAAGTGTAATATTGGCAGTACAATGGTTACATTAACCATCAAAGTTGTCATCAAGAGCAGCATCACCAGCAGGCCGTGTTCTCACTAGATTATCAATTATTACATACCTTTGAGTAGCACTGGCTCTTGTGTATTTCTTGCAGAGACCTCAAGGATGTTCCTGACGCACGCCGATTGGCATAACTGTTCCTGTTACTTGTGCTACCCTCTGGTGGCTCACTCCCAGCCATTCTAGGGGCCCTACAAGAGCAACAGTACAATAGGTACTAACATAGCTCCAACATATCAAAAGACAGTTAGTTGAACAATCGAACATTCACATTTAATATTTTATGCTGATCACGTGATGTGAATGCATGCAACAAAATAACAGTATACATGTATGCACGAAACATTGCGATCAATTTGAAATTTCTAAGAAGATAAAAATCAAATCCAAATCACTCATTTTGGAAATGACCCATTTGAATGTTATTGCAATGCACATTTCTAGAATTTGAGATGAATTTTGCAAAACTGGCTTTTTAGGAACGAGCAACAATTCAGAGTGACCTATGTCATCAAAGGCACAATTTCGACTGGAGTGGTGTCAGTTCATTATATAATATCCTGTGGTGATGTAGTTATATCCAAATACTCAGCTGTGACCCCACCTATGATCTCTTCATGTGATACAGTATGTGTCAAATCTCACACACAGATTATGAGTGAAGCATGGAGCCTTCACCATATCCAGACTAGTGCACTGATTACACATTTTGTTCAGTTATAAATAGTGGGTAAGAAGCAGAATAAATATGCTGAAATTACACAGAGTATAGTCAAGCATTGTAGTCTGGTTTAACAATGCATACAATTGCGATCCGTGATACATGTGGTAAATTATGGTTCAAAGGCACCATTCACGTTATAAAATAATAAAAGATACTAATGTCTCAACCACATTAATTAATCAATTTAACATTATTATCACCATCTTATTTTTTGGTTAAATTCAGAATCATTACTGCTCACTAGAAATTAGTAATGCATAATATCTCGACAAAAAAGGATTATTGACAGAATGAAATTGTGATGATGAATTCATGTTTGCAACTATTGGTGTTCAGGGTTCTGCCCAGGATTTTTTAGAGCTGGGCGCATCCAGTTGCGACAGGTGCAAGCGCCGTAGGCGTGAAGCCAATCTAGGGGGGGGGCCGGGGGCATGCCCCCCCCGGAAAATTTTTGATTTTGGATAGTCTGAAACTCAATTTCCTGCATTCTGAGCAATAAAAAGCCCATATATCACCATATATTCTTTTTTTTTAATCAAAAATTAGTGCCGGGCGGAGATAACCGACTCGTTTATAGTGCCGGGCGGCAACCGCGAGTGCCGGGCACACCCGCCCACCGCCGCCCACCGTGGGCAGAACCCTGGGTGTTGCATGAGCTATGCCTGCACACTGGAATGTATGAGCAACTGTTATACACTAAAAGTAACAGGTAGTGCTTTGCAGGGTTGGGAATTTGGTCTGCAACTTGTGACCACTTAATTAACATTTTACTTGGTGATTATTTATATTTGCAGTTGTTCATTATCAACACAAAGGTATGCTATCTTCATGATCGGATAATGATATATATGTATAGATATAGATATATATATATATAATACACAAACTATAACTGTACCAGCACCTACTAAACACAAATGGTGTTCAGTAGAATATGAAAGAAAGTAATAACAAGAAGAATATATAGAAAGCACGATATTGGGCATACATAATGAACTAGTATAGGACTTAGTAGTGCAATGTAAATGTACATAATATCAAGAGCGTATAAAGAAGGAGAGCGTACAACGGTAAAATGCTGAAACCATGTTGCAGTATTAGTCGAATTAATAAACTTTCCCCGTTTTATTTTGACGATTCTTTGCAGTATTATTGATCAGCTGTCCTACCTTGTTAATATAAAACAAACCGCATGTCCCTACGATGCACCTACGCTGAGATCTGCCCTTCGGCGAAAATATCAGATTTTCACCGCTCATTATCTCAGCGTAGGGGCATCCTAGGAACATGCGGTTTGTTTTATATTAATAAGGTAGGACAGCTAATCAATAATATGTACTGCAAAGAATCGTCAAAATAAAACGGGAAAAGTTTATTAATGCGACTAATACTGCAACATGGTTTCAGCAATTTACCGTTGTATGCTCTCCTTCTTTATACGCTCTTGATAATATTCTTTACTATATATTTCTGACTGATGGAGAATATATTTCAAGGTTCATGACTGATACAGAATCTATGTAAGATACATTCGTTTATGTACTCATCACAATATACTCATCAGTTACAGAATACAGCAACGTAACGTAACAGAACTTCAGCAGCGTTTATACGGTTACATAAAGTTCATAATAAAAGTGACTGCTTGCCCTCACAAGTTAATGCAGACAGAATTGGGGCGCATGCACGCAGACACACAGATACGCATGCAAACATGCACACATGCATGCACACACGTGCACATGTGCGCACAAACACAAGAAATACCCCGAGACACATAACTCTGAGCTCCGAGACAGATAACTGAGTCATATTGGATTTAAACTGACGACGTGATAAATGCTCTTCATTAAACCTATGATTAAACATAGAATAGATGTTTTGGGAATCCTTGGTATCAGTGTGTAAAAACCTATGAGTTCCACCCTTTTTAGTCTTCCACTGTTTAATACAATGATCATACATGA